CTAAGACAGGTGAAAATGCAAATGAGTTAATTGTTTTTAAGTAGGTATTTGTTGCTGTGCCTGCATTTAGACAATAGCTCGGTTCTTTTGTTTAGTGTTGACCGTTTGTCTGAATATATTATGTGGAGGTTCTCGGTTATGCACAGGTTACAGCGTTTTGTTTTTGGGGAGTAAGCCGGCTTACTCCCCAAAAACAAAACGCTGTAACCTGTGCAGTCGGCTTACTCCCCAAAAACAAAGACTGGGGTTTCAGCTAAATATTGTTTTAAGCATACCGGGGTTAAAGTATTTTTAATAAGATCAAATACGTTATGATTTTACTGATAAAAGACAGATAAAAAATGACATTATAGATCTTTGCAATCTAGGTAAAACCTAATAATTGATGCAAAACTGAGAACACATGTCGAAGGTATGATCATTTATAGGTTCTGTCCAATATGCATTACGATTTAAAGATTTTGGTTTTTGACTACAAGCCCCTAGTTGTACCAGAGTTTTCACATTTGAGATGGCCAATAATTCAATGTTAATGTTCATATTGTTATAGTCGTCTTTAAAAGGAACAAGCTGAAGTGTATTTAAATTACAAACTTGGCTCATTTTAAGTAAAGTAATAATATGTGGGCTTATACCCATTTTTTAATGTATTTAATCTATCCTAAGTATAATAATTCTCCCCTATTGTACGATATATGACAGCTGTACTAATCGCTTTATAAGCCAATCGCTGTCTTTTAATGTAAGTTTAGATTTTTTTAAAAACTGTTGTAGCAGACATCGGTTGTTACTGTATAGTGATATGATCAGTATACTGTGTGCGTATTACATTTAGCTGTGTGTATGCATGCTTCTGCAGTACGCCTACGTGCTAACACACATCTAGTGACGTTACACATCAGTATAGTTTACCAGAAATACGGATTGCATTGGAAAAAAATTGCTACAAATCATTTTATGATCTAAATATAAACTTAATTATGTGTTAAACAACATACTAAAAGATTAACAAAGGAGGACCAACACAAAGGTGATTTTTATAACCAAAAGTGTAGCACTGTTGATCAGTAGACTTCCACACGATACGTACTGCGGTTTTCAAAAATTTCTTGTTTATAATTGGTCATTATTTAGGTCAATGTAGCCTCATTAACAAAACAAATAGACACAAAGATTTATGAATTCCTAATACAATAAGACATTAATTAACTTTTTGCAATATTTTATTTTTTTTTAAATATTTTTAGTGTGTGTTATTCTGTGAATGTGCTTTAATATTATCAGTATTTCTTATTCATTGTACTGGGAATCAAATTTCATGTACGGTATTGCATTCATTACTGTACATGGCCAATAGCTTGAACTTGAAAAGAAGCGGCAGCTTTAGTAATAACACGCGTCTTCTGTTTAAACACGATCTTGAGCGGAACCACAAAATTCAGGAAGCGTTTCCATGGAATCGCTATCGATAGAATGTAGCGATGGTGTGGATAGAGCTTAATTGTTCACATTCACTATCGTTAACGACTAATATATTTATTATTATAGAAAATTAATAATCGGATAATGATTTATTATGAATTATATTTTTTAAGACAGATGGCAGCTTAATATTCATCCTCATTACCGGATCTCTAAAATTGTGTCTGCTATTTGATAGTCGTTGGTTGCCAGATGTCTTCAAATGAACTACAATTAGGACTGGAATTGGTCGAAGTTTAGAACTTCAAATACGTTGTTTACAAATACAAATTGAAGTTCAAGTTGCAAATGGACTAGATGAAGTACTAGCTTAAAGTTCGAATATAGTTCGTTTTAAGACTTACAAAACCTGGTTTTTCAAGCCTGCCCCCCCCCCCCCAACAAAAAATAAATTGTTTTTTTTATTCGACTGGCAAAACCTGAAAAGCAAAATTAAACAATTAATTCAATTTAGTGAAAAAAAAACTGCTTTAAATACGAAGATACTCCATGATTATCTCAAATGTAGTGATGCTTTTTTCAAGAAAACACTTTGATTTTACTCTTTTCCACCTACCTTTTGAAAATATTTTTCTAAAAAGGTGTAGAATAGTCCTTCCTATTTAATTATATGATTAAATTTAATATATTAGGAGTTTTTTTCAGATTTTTGTAAAGATATTTAAGAAGTAAGTACTTCCAGCATAAAACCTGAAACACACCACTCCATTTGAACTTGATCATGTTTTATAATTTGTTTAGACAAATATCAGAGAAAAATAAGTAAATTTTGTAGAGATTGTTTACAAACAAATTATAACAACCATGCCTTTGTAATAAAAACATAATTTCTTAAAATATTTAGCCTAATTGTGTGATTTTGAATAGATTTGTTTCTATTACCTTTCTCGCCTTAGGCCTACCTAAATAACTAATAATACATAACATATAAAAAGACAAATTTACTGGATTTAATTAGGTAGAATTGTCCCATTTTTTAAATTTCAGAATAATTCCTCTGAACACATGTGCCTTGTTTTTTTAAGGAGCTTATAAACACAAAGGTATATTTTTCAGGGCTCTATGCGCCAATGATACAGAAGCATAGGATTGCCGTGTTAATGGACCGGATTAACATATACTGGATATATCGTGACTACATTGACTCCAGCCATTTTCTAATTACATACTATGCAGTCAATGGTAAGAAAATGAGCAGTCACTCGATTAACCGGATGAGAAGATCAGTACAACTGCAGAACCTTATATCTGGAGAAACATATACAGTTATTGTAAAAGCCATCAATGGGTTCGAATTTGTTTCTAGTCAGCCGATCAATATAACAACAAGTAAGTTAATGCTCATTTTTATTGATACATAAACTAGGTGTCTGCAGTGTTACATAGACTTAAATGCCTCCAATGTTATTTTAAATAGACACAATACTATTATCATTGCTTGACCCACAGGTACCAATAATAATAATAATTATTATTTTTTTATATAATATATTTAAGTTATTATTTAAAAGATCCACAGTAGCTTTACCTATTATTTCGTTATAAAGTACACATAGGTGTTTGCGTTTGACTTAAGTTGATAATTAAATATACATAAAATATTTATATTAACGTTTTACATTAGAAAAAGAGCCGTGCTTAGCGTTATTAAGATTTTCTACCTTAAGCATCTTACTTAATTTTATGGCCTAAAATCAGTGGTTAATGTAAACAATATTGATAATAATAATTAATAATAATGATAATAATTTATTGACATACACCATTTATATCGGTGGTACATATCTTAGCTAATACTAAGCAAGAAAAATAAATGATATGTATACATAAGTACAAATCCATTTATATATAGTGCACCGTTTTTAAACTACACAAGACAGTGGGGTCGTCAATGCTGTTATTCCTTTGGCTTTCAATAAGCTATTAAATAGATGAATTGAATACAATAATCGCAAACTACACCAAATTCTCTATCCAGAGAGCCAACTGATGCATTTATTATATTCACAGTGGATAACTTGTACAGTACAATTTGAGTAGGCCTATCTATTTCTTGAACAGGTCTTTATTCCTAAACATCCATATGTCAAGTGCATATTTCAACTATCTGGAATTCCCCTTAAACATTTTAACCTCTTGGGGTGGCCAGTTCTATTACACGGGAAGGTAAACATGAGTAAGCTCATTTTAATTACATTACCCTCTCAGATCAATTTGTCCCCTGAATCATTTTAGACATGTTTAATAATCAATGTATCGGTAATAAAATGAGTAGGCCTTATTCTAACTAGAGAGTCTACTATGACTCCAGCATCATGATATAGGAGATCTTATGGATCCCGACAGCCAATCTGGATAGAGGTTTAAACTATGAAAATACAATACACTAAAACCGCTCTTGTAGCCATTATTTAGGAAATATTCCCAGCTCATCTCGATTTGCTGCTGGCGACATCTGCAACTCGATAGTTTTTATTTTCCTAGTCTCCACTATACGAGTCACCCGATCCATTATCCTTAGATTGAAAGCAGGCGACCATCCTTCTCCTTTCCTTCTTGAGTCCTATCTGCTTTCTTGGTCAAATTATCTTTCTCTTCCTTTGACAGTACATTTGGCTTCCATCGGGGAACTCTGCTAACATTTAAAGGTGGTCCGCAGTAGACCTCCTCAACCAGAGACCGTCACCCCGAAGACAGCTCAATCTCCGAGAGCACGGCTCTCAGCTCCCTCCTCCTTTTGTTCACGGGTTATACTGCCGGTTTTCGGACCTTGCCATGGTTTCCGTGGCCTTTTTTTAAAGACCTAGCGTCATGGCCACACACATGCTTAAAACGGTGGCCTTAGAGGTGATGCTGTTGAGGCGCTGTATAAATCCAGAATTGTTATTATCATTATTACAGTGTCACTGGTAAGATTAGACAAGTCTGTCTTCAAGGTCAGTGCTTGGTTCAGGGTCAGGTGGGTCTGTAATGATGCTACCGGGGCTAGCTTCCTCGTCCAACCTCAAAGGTCCCAATTCAGCTAAAATATCAAACTCATTCTTTTTCATGAGATTATAATGCACCAACCCATTTCTACCCTTTGGATTCATATCTCAAATCTGTAGATGACTTCTGTCAATTTCGTGGCGCCACCGATTTTAAACTTTGGAGAGATCCTCTTACATTTGGACTTACTGTACATGAGCACGGATATCCCTTCCTTTAGGTCCAATGTACCGGATAGACGGTCATATACCGTTTCTGTATCCGGGCACTTGTTTTCAAGACTTCCTTTGCCCTTTCTGCAGCTATTTGTCCACCGGTTCCACCATTAGGTCAACATGTACTGCGGCATCTCGACCGAACATTATCATGAATGGTGTCTTTCCCGTTGATTCTTGTGTTGTCGTAGGGCAGGCGAAAGTTGCTTATGGCAACATGTCCCAGTTGCTCTAATCGGAGTACGGTTGTAGCGTGATTACTATCATATCCACTAACGTCCTGTACAAACATTCATGTTATCCATTCGACCTGGGATTATACTGAGTTTTCCTTGTTTTTGTGGGCAAACAAAACACATTACTGTAATAACTGCAGACTCAAAGTGCCGTAGGAACAGGATACTCTTGGACAATTTTAGTTTTTTCGCTACCCCCTGCTGAGATATGATATGGCCCAGGTAACGAACTTGGTTATGACCAAATGTACACTTCTTAGTTTTTAACTTTAATCCAGCTAACTTAAACCGATCTAAAACTTGTCTCAGATGATCAATATGCTCTTCAAATGATTTTGAAAAAATTATCATATCATCAAGATATACAAGAGCAATTTTCCACTGTAACCCTCTAAGAAATTCTTGCATTTCACGTTGAAACGTACTTGGAGCATTATGGAGGCCAAAAGGTAGAACATTGAATTCATACAAACCCTCTTGTGTTACAAATGCTGTTTTACATTTACTACTTTCTTCAGGTCCTATTTGCCAATAGTCCGAAGCCATATCTAAGGTTGAAAAAATGCAGGATTAGTAGCACCTAAACTATCCAAAGAATCCAAAACATTGGAAAGCGGAAAGTTATCACGCACACTACACAAGTTTAATGGTCGAAAATCTAGGCAGAATCTGAAATCATTGGTGTTTTTCTTTTTAATTAAGACTATGTTACTAGACCAACTAGACTTCGATGGTGAAATAATGTTATCTTTTAACATTTTGTCCACCTCTGCACGAATAATTATTTGTAGATGAGGTGGGTGCCTATATGGGCGAGCACGAACAGGAGGATGATCACGAGTATTGATTATATGTTTAACATCAGAATAATGACCCAAAGGGCTACCAGAAGTTTGAAAAACATCCACATAATCACCAAGTAAAGATCGTAACTCTTTCTGTTGAGTAGAAGACAAATTATCATTTGTTATATCACATTGATTTAAAACTTTTTCAATTTGTGATTGACTATTACAAGATTTAGACTGAATATCATTCACTGAATGTTGTGAAGTCATAACAATTGGGTCTTCTATATATGAAAAGAATTTAATATCTCCCTCATTAATTCGTGAAAAGGTTCCCAATTTGGTACGAGGATAAATAGCAATAGCATTATAGGATGGATTCAATAGCAGAATCGGATCTTGCATGTGCAATCCATACTTACTAGTTTTCGAAACATATGCGCTAACTGTAATCCTAAATTATTTAAGGTCCACCCAGCTTTGCAAACTCCAGTGATATTACCCAACACCTGACCTCTAACTCTAGCATGGAACAAAGTTTGGTTACGAGGAGGAATCTCTTTTCGAGAACTAGCTCTTATCTGCATTGAGGCATTAAGTCTAAGTTTACGAGATCCAAAATCAACACTGGCTTTCTGAGAAACTAGAAACTGTGCACCGAGAATGACATCATTAAGAGAGAGCAGCTTAGCTCAGTCGGCTAATCTGGTGGTAGCCACTGTGTGTGCGCTGAACCGTGGAGATCTCTAGGTCCCAGGTTCAATTCCCATCGCTGCCTTGTGTTTCAGCTAGAGGGCTGAAATACAAGTTACAATAGCGCACCGTCTTTCGGATGAGACGTTTAAGCCGTTGGTCCCGTGTGCATTTATGGCCCATGTGCACGTTAAAAACACATTACACTCTTCGGAAAAGAGTAGGGGATTGTCTCCCGGTGTACTGTCCAATCACCACCAGAAGGACCCCACTGGAAATAAGTCTTCTTCTAGACTTTCGTGGGCTATCACTGGTGTTTACACCGAATAAATGCAATCCGATCCAATCCAATCCCGATTTAAATTAGCAGCAATGTACATAGGTATGACAAAATTATTATCGGCAATTCTCAATGGAATGTGCGACAACCCAATTATTTTCAGACCTGAACCATTGGCAGTAATCGCTTGTTTAAACTCAGCTCTGCTTACTTTTAATTCTCTACAGGCTGGAGAATTCCTGAAACAATGCTCCCCAATTAAATTAATAGTAGCGCCTGTATCTATCAATCACGATAATTGTTTTTGAACTAAAATTACATCTATACAACAACCTTCTAGAGAAGTGTCTATAGTATTAATATTTTCCCCTTTCTTTACCTGCTTAGGCCTATCTTTACCAAAATGTATTTCATTGTTAGATACAGATTATTAGATATTTAGATTATTAGTTTAAAGAATAACCATGTACATGAAATTTAGAAAAACATTCGATTTGCTTATGACCAGTTTTGCCACAACCTAAACAAATAATCCTAACTACCGCTCCGAAACGATGGTGCATGTCGCAGATTTGATTGCATTTTATTATAAACAGGTTTCCCCTGTTGGAATGATACACCCTTTTCGTGTTTTGACCCATATTGTTGACGTGGTTATGGTGGCGCTGTTTAGCTGTGCACTGTTATCCAGAATTGCTGGTGCCTTGTCTGTGCTGTGTTCGTGCTTTGAATGTTTAATTTCGTTTCTACTTGTGGTGGTGTTGATTTGATTCTAAATCATCCAACTCCTAGGCCTGACTAAGAACGAACTCTCACTGGTCTGTCTGCCTGGCTACTGCGCTGCACTTGACGTTGTGACGTGGAACAAGGTCAGCGGCGCTACCACTTTTAAAGAATGATGATACTCCAGAGACAAATTGCTTAAATTAAGATTTGGTAGGCAACCTTACTTTATCTAATGAAATTCTAACGAAAATAAAGTCGATACCTTCACGTTCAAATCGCCGTCGAAGAATCTCAGTGCATATCTCACTGACTTGCACCAGCTGGATTTATGCAATCCTAGATCCCTAAACAACAAAATGGACGAACTTCGCTCAGTTGTTCTTAACCAGAAATTTGATATTTGCGCACTCTCAGAAACCTGGTTTTCTCAAGACAGATCGCTGGAATTTTTTGATATTGATGGCTACACATTGTTTTCCAATCCCCGTAAATCACGTATTGGAGGAGGAGTGGCGCTATATGTGCGTGAACTGTTTATAGCTAATGAATTCAATATTGTTGTTCCAGATGGTCTTAAAATTGTTTGGTTACAGTTAAACCCAAGTAAGCTATCGGCACTGCCGCAGTGCGAAAAAAAAGCTGCTGTTTTCTATCGGCACTGCCGCAGTGCGAAAAAAAAGCTGCTGTTTTCTATCGGCACTGCCGCAGTGCACAAAAGTGAAATAATTATGTTTATTCACTATAATTATTTCACTTTTGTTTATATCAACTTGTTTGTAGGCCCGATGATACCTTTTGTTATTATAATTAAGTCATCATGATTAAGTCTGACCAATCGCCTATTAGATACCGTATTATTGCATTGTATTGTTCCAACTTTGTCATAATGTTAATCAGTCATGCTGAAGAGGACCTGAGGTCAGGTCGAAATATTCATGTTGTAATAAAATAGTGTTCTAAAGTCTACTCCGTTTCCTGTTTTTCTTTCTTCTTTATATATATACATATGTACAGGGACATGTTCCTTTTTGCCTAACCAGTCTCATTACGTTTTGAGTGAAATAAAATTATGAATTATGAATTATACCAATGTCATCTATCGATAAAAACATCGATTCGATTAATTAACAGCAGCTTTTCGCACTGTGGCAGTGCCGAAAGAAAACAGCAGCTTTTTTTGGCACTGCGGCAGTGCCAAATCGGCACTGCGGCAGTGCCGATAGCCACTACCCTCCCAAATAGTGGACTTTCCAACAAGGGGAGATAATACTCTGGACAAGATATTAACTAATTTTGCAAATTTCTACCTACCGCCTACAGCGTCCTCACCGATTGGTATGAGTGACCACGCCACAGTGACCTGGCTTCCCAACACGCAGCTTCCAAAGAAATCAAATGAGTTTGTCAAGCGTTCAATCAGACCTTTGAAAGATTTTGACATCCTTGCGTTTGGTTCTTGGTTAACACAGCATAGCTGGACTGAGGTTACCAATGCCGTTGGAGCTGTCGCTTGAGGCCAATGCACTTTATGATATCCTTAGTAAAAGCATTAACAAGTATTTTCCCGTGCGCGAAATTAAGCTTCATATTTGTGACAAGCCTTGGATGTCCTCTAATACCAAGCGATTGATACGGAGAAGACAAGTTTATTCTTCCAATCGACCTCCACTTTGGCGTTTTTTTAGGAACAAAGTTAAACGAGCAATTATTCCTGACAAGAAGGAATACTATCATAACAGGGTTAAACGTCTTAAACATTCTAACCCTGCTTCCTGGTATAGAGAAATTCGAATTATGACGACAAATAATAAATCAAAAAGAACAATTGTTCCTCCTCCGGACATTGATAGAAATAGTGCCAAAGACATGGCAGGATTCATAAATGATCAGTTTGCATCTATCGGGAGAGATATCCTACCACTTTCTGTCACAAATTTACCTGTTTTTCTTCCAGCCCCAGCTCCTGTACCGGAAGTACACCCTTGGCCTGTTTATGATAAACTTTCTAAAATAAATATTAGGAAAGCTGGTGGCCCTGATGGTATGCTAAATGCATCATTCTGTGAAGGTGTTGTTCCCCAGCAATGGAAACGAGCTATAGTCGTCCCTATTCCTAAATCTAATCAGCCAACTAGGGATAAGCTATGCCCAGTTTCTTTGACAGATCACTTCGCTAAAATGGCAGAATCTTTTGTCATTGACTGGCTTTTGCAGGATATTGGACCAAAAATTGACGACAACCAATTTGGTAATCGCAAAGGGCGTTCAACTTCACACTAACTTGTTAAATTGCTGAACAACATATATGAACATGCAGAAAATCCCGAAAGACTTTCTAGGATTGCAATAACTGACTTTAGCAAAGCTTTTGACCTTGTTGATCATAATATTGTAATTCCAAAATTAATTATTTTAGGTGCTAGACCATCAATCTTGCCATGGATTTGTAATTTTCTCTCACAGCGTTCTCAATGTGTAAGGTATCAGAATACTTTGTCTTCCTGGCTGCAACTCCAAGGAGGTGTGCCGCAGGGTTTGTTTGTTTGTTTGTTTAATTTATTTCTCCACACACATGAACATATTAACATAACAAAAGCTTAATAGTAAAACCAACTAAGAATAATAGTACATTACAGAATAAGTGTGTGGAAGGAGGCCAAAATAAGTTTAGAATAAAATTTTAAGCCGTGGCCACCAGTTAAAAATATATAGAAATCCAAAAATATAAACACAAAATAAATATATATACATAAGGCAGTCTTCAAACTATCGTAAGTGCCTTTCTTGGTATCTTCCAAAGAAGAATACCAAATAGCTGCATTACCCCGTAATCTAAGACTAAGCGCCAAATGTTTCTTATCAGCTGCAAAATCACGAAGACTCGCATTCAATTTGAACCGCTGTAGGAACCCAGAATATGTGTCGGAAAAATAACTTTCATATTTAATAGCCATTATCTATTTAACATTCAAAAATTATTTAACAATATGCAACAGGCCTATCATAAATCACAATATCATATTAAGCAAATAAGATAGATCAAATCAAATCAGCCGACATACCGGGTTCCATTGCTAAAACAGGCGGACCAGTATACGATGTCAACACAGCCAAATTCCACATTCCAGAATCAATTGCTTTCATTGTCTTATGAAAAACGGGTTCTCCACCATATATTATGCCTTTCCGTACCTTGATATAACGACAAACAACTAAAAGTTACTTGAATCTTCTTTTAATTAACATGGCCTGTGCAAACAACAATAACATCATTATTTTCTGGTTCATAAAATACAATATAAAAATACAAAGTAAAAAGTGTATATATAAGTAAAAAATAAAAAGTGTATATATATATATATATATATATATATATACGATTTTCACAATTTTGTTCACGTGTGATATTAGCGCTATATCAAAATCGTGAGGTCTGACACGTTAAAAGAATGAAAGAACTCAGATTCTACTGGACGCTTAAACTTCCACAGTGCCATTGTGGTCAAGTGGTGATGACGTTCGCCATGTCGTCACGTTTGTAAAACGTCCGGGGCTCGAGTCTCGGTTTATTGTTTTCTTTGTCATATTCTTTTTCTGTTACGTTTCATTTATATATATATATATATATATGTGTGTGTATATATATATATATATATATACACATATATAGGCACCCTCACCGAGCATTTGTCAGGCTACGTAGATCATATCATACCAATAATATCTACCATCCCTAGTTATTACAAGATTCTACACATGTTTTTAACATTCTTGACAATTTGCTTCCCCTACCACATAACCCCATAATTGTCACCAAGTTACCACTTATTTAGTACACCACCTATTCTTGCCCACCGCCGGCCGTTCATGAGGGTGTTACTTCCGATGATATTTGCCACCAGCGGTTGTTGTAGCTGGCTGAAGTGTTTATCCAGCTTGTATGTATGCGATTATCTGAAAGAAACAATCGGTCGTAGCAGTATGTCTGTTTTGTGAATCTTCGGCTAGCCTAATAGTCTAGAGCAGTAAAACGCCGACCAGTCACAAATGTTAGTATAGTCAGATAGGAAGAGCTTCTGTCCTATGTGAATCCAGTAAATTTCTTGCAACATTTCTTTCAATGGATGGAGTTGAATATTAGGTTTTCGTTTGATATCACTTAGTAACAATTTCTCCTACACCCAGTAATACTTGTTCCTTTATGCACTACCCCACCAACTCACCATTATTTTGTTGCCAATGGAATAACTTACTGTCTAATAGATTATTCTTAAACCAGTAATTATATAATATTATATAATAAATATATAAAAATAATTTTATTTTTTTATTTTATTTCAGGATTGATTGTAATGACGTAGATTCTATGACTATCATTAAAAAAATATTCGATTTGATGATGCCATTATACAAAAAATAAACTTGAATTTGATTTATTTTATCTGCTCTAATCCACAGGCCTCGGTAGGTTACGCGTGGAACCCATAACACTCTACACCTCCACAAGCATCACGCTATCATGGGCCACATCAGCCGCAAATACTATCATTGAATTCTTCGCAATTTCTTACACTGGAGCACACCTCGACAGGCCGCAAAACAGTTTCAATGTCTCAGGGGAAATGAGAACGTACGTGCTCTCGCACCTCACTCCAGGGGAAACATATTCCATCAGCTTACAAGCCCGAAGTGGACAACAAGCTGCAGATGGGAATCATATATCCCAGACAACAAGTAAGGCTAAACACATAATATTACAGAACATCAATATGGGAACATTACAGTTTTTCTCTTATTGATTTAATATCGAGATTAATGCTAGACAGGCCTAGGCATAGGCCGTTCTATTTATATTTATCCAAGGCTATTACTAAATTAACTATAATGGACTAAATCTTAAATTTATTAAACCCAAAATAAATGCAGCACTCTTCTTAGCGACATGTGACATAATACAAATGCAGTTAATATTTTTTTTCTCTCCCTCTCTTTAAATCACCACTTTTGTTCTTAATTCAGGTAAATACAATGTACATATGATACACAATTATTTAGAAATAATTCTTTAATATATCTTATGCTTATATCATTTTTTATTATTATTATTTTTTTATTTTTATACAATTATGTCCCAGTATAACTAAACACTGTTTAAAGTATCAAATTTTTTTTTTAAATAGGACATTTTCCTTGAAAATTGTTATTGTACTTAATCATATATGGATATAATTCTGACTGATAGCTGAAGTAGTCAAATCACTTTACTACACAAATGTAAATACATTTTTTTGTTGGCTTTTGTTATTAATATTTTACTAAGAAAGATATCTTTGCAACATAGGCTTATTTGTTCCAATTGAAACACTCTATTAATAAAAATCCAAAATGGCTTCACCTGGTCACAATCTCAAAACATGTGCAACTCATCTTATAGGATTGTCCTTTTTAGAGCTTGTAATTAAACTCTACAAGTTTCTTTTTTTAATATTTACAATTTTCCTTAACCAGACCCTTTCACAATTTATCATTATACTCGTTAAGTATATACTCGTTAAGTATACATTCCTATTTGGTTTGGGAAGTGGGCGGTTTAAATTTGTTTTTGTATCACGAGTTTTGTCAGCTTTTTCTTATTTGTACATTTACTAGTAGCATTATAAGCCGCAACTACGATATCATTGATATTATTATGTGCGCTCACAGACTTCCAATAATCAGGAATGCGTGCATTATATTTAATGTCTAATGAAAAATAACAAATTTAAGTGTTTTTCACTTGTTCCGGACTTTAGGGGTTTACATTTCATTATTATGTCTAAATAAGATAAAACTAAATATAGTTATAAAGAGGCCGTCTTAACTTATTATTAGCTCTATTTCTGATAAAAAAATATATACGAAATATTATTGTCCAAATTGTAGGTAATATAGTGTTAAAAAATAAGCAATTATTAGAGCTCCGCCTAGTACACTTGAGTCTGGTTCTTACGAGAGCCCTAGTATCCGGATCGGGAGCCTACCGTTAGCGCTAACCGTTAGCACCTGGTGAGAACGCCCGATCGGTTAGCGCTAACCGATAGCAGTATCCGGATACGCTAACGGTTAGCAAGTTGAGCGCGTTTTTATCATCAACCAACCACACGTACGCGTTTATAATTTCCAGTTTCTTATTGGCCAGTGATTCGATCATCATATTTTTGGTATCCGGATCGGGATTTTCTCGTATGGACGCTAAAGGTTAGCAGGATCCGGATCCTGCTAACCGTTAGCTGCCGTGTGAGAACATAGCCTATAGGAAAATTAGTATACGAAGGTTAGATTTAATGCTTTAAAATAATTTCATGAGGGCCTGCAAGGCCCGAAGGAAATTTTTGAATGCATTAAATCTAACCTAAGTATAATAATTTTTCATTTAGTGTACGATGCATGCTCTAATAATTACTTTATAAGTCAATTGCTGTCTTTAATTTTATTTATTTTTTTTATAACCAACTGTTGTAGCAGTCATCGGTTGCTATAGTGATATGATCAGTATACAGAAGGACCCACATCTCCGCTCTCGAACATAGCGCGTGCGTACAGTCCTTTGATCTTTACTGTGGCATCGACAATCCGATACTAGTTGCGAGTACAGCCGTCAATTATTAGTCTATGCGTGCCATACGTTTTATGGTGTTAGTTACTATTTTATTAATTTTGGGTACTTCGCAATGTCTGTTACATCTGATATCTTTTGAACGCGAGCTTGTTAAATCCTTCTATAAACTGCAATTTGATTTGTGAAAATTGACCAAAAATTGAAAAGTTATAGCAATTGAAAATTTACGAATTTTATAAAGTTTCATGTTCTTATGTAACATTAAACTGTCATTTTGACAATGTTGGACTAAGGTGCACAAAACGAACATTTAAGTAGATACAGAACATTTATTAATTATTTCTGCGAAGTGAGTCTCATAAACGACAATACACCACAATTTCGGTAAAATGCGCGAATTACGAATACGAATATTTCGCGCGAATACTTACGCTAGCGTTCATTAATCGCCCAGTCTGGACATCTCGCTAGTTACGCCATGAATTAACGTACGCCCGGCGTTAGATACGCCTGGCGTATCTCGCAGGTCTGAACGTAGCCCTACGTTCAGAGCCCTATTCGTAATTCGCGCATTTTATTTTCTGTTTACATCTAGGTTTATTTTGATTGGTCAAATCTTGGCTGAGTTCAAAATCACCGATGCATGACTGTCGTAAATCATTGGCGTACGCTAATCTGGGGTCTCTCTTATACACATCTAGATGTGTATAAGAGACAGCGATAATACTGGCGTTCGCTACGCCGCGCACAAGTTCACACCACTCGATTAACGTTACGCTAGCGTAAGTCGTTGTGTCTGAACATAGCCTTTGATGTCCCGAGATGTGCGTCCTTCTGTTGAATTGCCTTGCTGTGCGTATGCTGATTTTTTCTCCTGCAGTATGCGTTTAACTACACATCAGCAGTACAGTACGAATACGATGAATAACTATTGTCATTTGTATTGTGTTAGAAAGAACTTGTTTGTAATTCTATTTTGATAGACTTTCGTCAAAGAAATAAACATTTCATCATTCGAGAGAGAATACAGACACTGGCGTCCTTTTTTTTTTTTTTTTTTTGGTAGGTGCATGCAGACAGGTAAAATCGTACGATAACTTTAATAACTAGGCTAGGCTACGGCCTAGTAGTAGTAAAAGGAGGCCTGTTCGGTCTCTTGCCTGGCCGTAGGCCTACATCGAAATTAGTTCTTTGAGTCTTTAAAATAGGTCTAGAATATTCCTATTAAACGTTCAGTTTGTTGTGTTTATAAGGGTCCATTGATTCAATGAATTCCTTAATTGTTCATACTTAATATTGAATTTGAAGTAACATTCTTCGGGTTCTAATTAAGCTTTTTTTACGAAAGTAATTTTAATTACAATTCAGTTTTTATCGCGGTGCGCGATGACTTCGCGGTGGCGAAAACATGAGGATTTTTTTTTTTTTTTTGCACTGACCTGATTCACTTGGTTATTCCCTTAAAAATATAAAAGCATGGTATACTGTAAAATGTAAATTAAATACTATCAGTAAATACTACAGATATATTAAACAAACAATATTATTGTTTAGTGCGTTTATTTATTTTATTTTAATTTTTGTTTTTATTAACAAGAGATTATTCAGTGGCCCCTTTACAAGAAGACTAGGGACCACTGACTTCCTTACTATATGTTACATGCTGATGCTTAAATAATAGCGGAATTAAGCAAAAAAAAAGACTAGTACTTAAGATATACTTCTGGACAATCTCAAATTACATACAGTTTTGTTTTTAATTTTTTTAAGTCTGTACTGCCTCTAATTTAATTAATTGCTTAAAATGACAAAATTAATTGCTTAAAATGACAAATCTAATAAATCTAAATTAGGATTGTTTCTAAACATATCGATGGTAAAGCTTGGGCATAGTATTAAGAGAAATGTTCACGATTCATTATTATTATTATTATTATTATTATTATTATTATTATTATTAGGTAAAAAGGTATATAGGGAAGAAAAGGTATATAGGGAAATTCAGGAAGGCCTATGTCCTGTCGGGACCAGAAAATGAAGTCCATGCAACAAGAAAAAATACTCGGAGTCAGCAGTTAAGAATATCGGATAGCGTCTTTGCTTGATTGATTGCTATGCTATTTCGCTATTCAATTCTACAAAGGAATTCAATGAAAATACAGTAAATAAACTTTCAAACATAGTTATTTCAATATTTTCAACTAAAATGTAGTAACAAGTAACATCATGAATAAAAACCAGTGTAAAAAAATACTAATAACACATTAGATTTCATTATACATGCTAAATTCTTTATAACTTATTTATTTTATTTTTTTATTATTTTTTTTTTTTTGGACTTTCAATAAAACATGTTTGGTGATGATTTAGGCAAACAATAATGGTTTGTTTGTGTTTGTTTATTTTACGTAGTTAATACAAATAATGTGCTCTATGTTCAAAATAATCTTTTGTTTAAAATAATCCGCTTTTATTATCAAAGTCTGTGTCATCATATAATTGAACTAACATTTGTTATGCTTAACTAAATGTCGTTTATATCATATTATATTAATAGGATAGGATAGGAGTGGATTTCATTTGGCCCGCAAGATCTGGTCCTCTAAAGAAATTAATTAAGAACCAGGGGCATATGCTATTCAAGCTGTTAGGCGATTTTCTACAAACAAAATGTATTTAATTCTTTACAGTTCCATGCACACCAACACTAATTAGTGCACCAAAAACAACCATGGAAAGTATTCACCTATCATGGGAGATTCCTACTAAAAGTGTAGTTGAGGTCTACAAAATTATCTACTACAGTTTGTCAGATACCGTTGTGCACGAGGGCAGCTCTCCAAGGGAAGGTTACATTATGAAGACCCTAAAGCCTGGCTTGGCATATAACATCTCAATATGGGCTGTCAGTGCTTCAGAGAAGAGCAGCAAGGCTTCAACGATTCAGAGAACAAGTAAGCAGACCTGAAAATTTTTTATTTGTATGTTACTAATTAAAAATACATACTGTAGAATAATATAAATCATCCTGTTGTCTTCTAATGTTGAACTTATAGAGCGATCCATTTACAGTGATTATTCTCTGCGGACGCCATAGCTGGGGGCTTCTAATTGGATTTTTACTTCTTATGCATCATCTGCTATAATTGTACGCACATTGCTGTCATTGTAATCTACTCTAAACAATTGACACCATCGTACATGCACATGAAATGCATGCAAGGGACCCCAAGGAGGTCCCCAGCAATGGCGGCTCAAATGGAGAGCGCCCTTTCCTAATTTGATTTGTTTATAGATAGAAGTAGAGGAAAACACTTAAGAAAGGCTATTTGTTTATTCATAATTAACATTGCTTCAATGAGTAGCTTTCATAGCAAAAGGCTCATATTTCTCGTCGAAAGGGTATTCGAATATTCATTCCCCGTTTAAATTGTTCCCATTTCTTTACTGCCTTGAGTTAATATGTTTTATATATAACTTTATTATTGTCTTCATGCATTTGATACAAATATGTTTATGCTCTCTTGTTTCTCTCAATAAATAAATAGTTTTTATAACCTCAGGTACATTCATACACTCATTCGTTCATTAGTAAACTAACCATAACTAAACATCCAGAATTTCATACAAAATATCTTTACTACATTTGTAACATTTAGTTTATTATTTTGTAACATTTTGTTATGCATAATGAAATGCTATTGTAATAGCCGTCAAACATTAAAACGATAAAATGCAACAATAATAAAAATAATGGTTTGTTTAATAATGATGATTATGACTAATGATGACTAATTATGCTGATTCTAATTTACATTGTTGCATGTTGATGGTCCTAAATGATTAGGTTCTGCTGGATAGTTCATTCTTATTATATCTAATATCAAATATCAAATAAAAATTAAATGTCGATGACAATGATTTCGACGATGACGATAATGATAATTACAATTATGATGATAATAAACATAAACATAATCGGAGGCGACGGTGATGATACTGATAATTTTTTTTCTCATTTACAACTTCGTTTTATATATAACTTTGTTAATGTCTTCAGGCATTTTATAGAAATATGTTTACGCTCTCTTGTTTCTCCCAATAAAAAAATAGTTGTTATAACCTCATGTACATTCAAACACTCATTCATGCATTAGTAAACTTACCATAACTAGAAATCCAGAATTTCATACAAAATATCTTTACCCCATAAGTAACATTTAGTATTCATTATTTCGTAACATTTTGTTATTCATAAGGAAATGCTATTGCAATAGCCGTCAAACACTAAAACAATAAAATACAACAATAATAAAAATTATGATTTGGTTAATGACGTTGATGATGATGATGACTAATTATGCTGATTCTAATTTGCATTGTTGCACGTTGAGGGTCCTAGATGGTGAAGTTCTGCTGGATAGTTCATTCTTATTTTATCAAATATCAAATAAAAATTAATTGTCGGTTATCATTATCGATAATATTTTTTTTATTTACAACTTATTTTACCTGGCGATTGGCAATTTACATCCAGATTTGTCTGATGTTATCTCGGTATTATGGAGATTGAAGTTTATCACTGCGTTTTCTACGTAATGTGTCTCCCTTTCCATTGTTAACATTGCATCTGTGATAGATAATGTCTCCTTCGTCTCTGTTCATTTTATTTTTAAATCTTTCAATTCTTCGCCTTTCTTATCCAAAGTCATTGACTTATTTTAAATCATGAAGAAGATTCTTTTCCCGGTATATTTGTGTTCAGATCGTGTACGTGTTTAAGTTGGTTGGTGTGGTCTGCGATGGCGGATTTAAGTACGATATTTATATTATCTGATAATTTGGTTCACTTGATTCTGACTCTGAGCTTGTAGATTTGTGCATTAGATTGGTGTTTTCGTGTTTGGAAGGTCTATCTGTTTACCCTATGTAAACATCATTTTAATTTTTTTGACGGTACTTAAAATATATGCAGCCGCAAGTTTTCTTTTTTAATTTTATCGTTTGTATAAACATACTCTTATTCGGTATGAAATGTGTGGTGATTGTTTTCTCCGGTGTTTCTCTTATCCGATCTGCCGTTCAATGGAAAATGCCCACGGTGCCACTTTTTATATTTTGTTTGTGGCTTATCTTTTACTAATGCCTTTTTGATATTCTTTTTTACATACCCTGTTAAAGTTCTGGTATTCTTATTTTATATTGTTCCCCATTGTTATCTTTTTTCTATTGAAATTATTTTCTCACAACGTCTTGATCACGTTGAGTTTGTGATGTGATTAAATTCCAAATATTGTTTGGTGTGGGTTATCGTCCAGTACACTACCATGCCCAATGATCTTCATGAAGCGATGGTATTTGACTGTTCGGCATAGTATTTGATATTACCTGGTGGGTCGATGTTATTGAGATGTGTGTTCAAAGTGGAGTGGCAGCTTTGGGTACTATGGTTAGAATTTTGTCTACGTATTTTTCAGTTTTTTCCCATATCTTTTTTCCTCTTTTTTGTGGTGGGGTGGGGGTGGGGTTTCCGCCTTACACTTTGTCAATTCCTTACTTGGATATTTCCCAACCTTCATCCAGGCATAGACCATCTATTAAGGATGTGCCTTAGTGACATTTAAAAGTGACGTCCCGGACCAGTTATCTAATAAGATGATGAACAGATCTGAATGAAACTTTTTGGAAAGCTTAACCAAGTTATACGGAAGAGTTTAATAAATTTTGGTGACGTTATAGATTCGCGTGTGCATTTAAAGCTCATTTTAAAGTGCCATGTCCAAATCTCAAAAAAACTTATCTATGGATAGAAATAAAACTTTTAAGAATAGTTCGTCCTGTTGCAGTACAGAAATGATTTAATTTTGGTAACGATCCAGAGGACGATGTGAATATGAGGACCATGTTAAAAATAAATTAATGGACGGGGATTAAACTATATAATATGTATACTGGAGACCCTTGGTATTCTTATGGGCTAACCCATATGACATCCGTATGGGCCAAAAATATATAGGTCCCACAATACAGTACAAATGCATGTGCGCAACATGTTTAGCCCACATAGGTTCTATCTGGGTCATGTGGGCTAAACTAGAAGAATGGTTTGTCATGTTGCAGTGAAGAAATTATTTAATTTTGGTGAAGATCCAGATTACGATGTGGATATGACAATTATAATAGTGATTTTGAATATTTAAATTCCGTAATCGATCTTACAGTTTGTAAAAAGCAACCGCAACTGACATTACCACTTAATATCAATCGCCCGAAAATTAGAGTTTTGTTGGGAACTAAAAGCAGCAGCAGTCCTAAAATAGTTGCATAGGCCTAACGATAAGCAGGATTAACAAATAAAGCATAGTTGTATCCATTTCTTTGTTTGTAAGATATCGGGTCCACACATAATGAACAAGTCTATAAAAAAAAGGTTTTTATTTTTTAATCTGTCATATTTAGCTGAACTAATGCTTGTACATTTGCCAACAAATTGATTGGTAATGAATTAAATTCAAGATCTGAGTGGGTCACTACTATGAAAATCGAGATGGCTCGGTGTTGCGTTTTTGTCTTTACTTTATTAATAAAATATACGGGTAGGCCTATTCATCGAATATTGTTATATTTAGTTTCTTTAAATATTTGTTTTCAAAATAAAATTTTTTACTATGCTCTTTCTCAAGGAAGATAAACTAACATGCACTGACCTACGCAGATTCGGCTCATATAGCGCGCAATGTTTATGAGCCGCCATATCACCATCGCTTTTACCATTGCAGCTGTGGTTTGAATCTCACTAATGTCGCGTTAGTCGCAAAGTTGGTTTTCTTTGTTCTTTTTGTTTTTGTTTTTGTTTTTTTGTTTTTTAGTATTTTTTAAAATTTTTATTTTTGTTTATTTTTTTGTTTATTTAATTGTTTTTATTTTCATGTTTTTTCCTTATACATTTTAATGACTTTTTTTATCGCTAGCCCTATGTTTTGCACAAACATACATAGCAAGTCTAATCATTATCATCATCGTCATCGTCATCGTCATCGCCGTCACCATCGCAATAGTAATCATAATCATCATCATTATCATCACCACCATCATCATTGTTGGAGTCTACCTGATTTGTTTTTATAATTGAGTGTAATGGATGCGAAGCATCGCTTATGGTTTTATCTAATTTACGGAGGACTGTATGATTATGCTGCCCCTCTCCTCCGTCCTTTGTTTTCTTTACAAAGTGGTCCTAATTTTGTCGGTTGTTTATGATTTTTTAATGTGGTTGTCCGTATTATATTGTTCAAGACAAGTAATGCACTTCGACCTAAACAAAACAAAGTTTCTTTCTTAGATGGCATGAAATGATTTCTCTGCTACACAAGTATTGCAACCAAAATCCTTTGCAATTTTTTTTTTATAGTTTAAAGAAACAATAGACAATTTAATGGTTTTTGTTTCTTAACTAGTTGTAAAGTTTAAACAACAGATGTGGGTCCAGTATCACAAACTAACCCCAACCCCGCTGCCATGTACGGCCACATGTAAATACTTAGCGTGTAAATCTACTATTTCTTTTTTTTTTTCAGAGCTAGGAAGGCCTCGTGAAATTCGTGTGGACAAAGTAACTAACACTTCATTTACGCTTACTTGGACTGACCCGCTAGGAAGCTTCGAGTACATTACAGTATCATGCCAAAAGTGTTTAATACGTGACTGGAAAGTTTTTCCTGGAACCAATGAAGCAAATTTTATAAAACTATTAGCAGGCACACAGTATAGACTCAGTCTTGTAACTGGAAAACGTGGGTTTGAAGACTCTTTACCAGCAACGATTGTAGAAGTCACAAGTAGGTATCAGATTTGAAGTCGTTTCTTCTGCTACAGCAAAAAGCCTGAGATCTGTTTGTTTTCTCATTTGTGGCTTTTCATACGGCAAAGGAAATGATATTGCTATACTCAAGATCTAAAATGCACCTTTTTCCACCCAACTATGAAATCATAATAACATAAACAAGCCAAGCAATAATTAAGAGGAACGGATGCCCTATAAGCCTAGGTAGATTTGGGTCAGCCCGATTTGGGTAATTACTGTAGCCTTGTGCGCTAGAGCGTTTAGGCACTATATATAGAAAAAATACGCCAAGATCTCTATTTTGACTTTAAAAAATCATGTATGTAGCTCAAAAATGGCCATCTTTTAAACCTTGTGTCAGGTTATGACATAATTATTATTTACTAGTGAGTTATAATATTGGTTAAAATTTATTTCACATACAGAGCATCATGAAATGTCAACAAATCCCTTTCCAAAAAAAGAAATCATATTTTACCCCTGTTTGTTTTAATCGTATTTTTACATGCAAAGCATATCAGTTATTATTTTAAATGTCAAAAAAACTCCCTTTTTTTCAAAAAATTAGTATTTTTTAGCCCCAAAAATTGATTTTTTTTTTGGCTCCATGAATATCCGTTAAATGCATGCTGATAAAAAAATCTCTACAATATTTGAAAATTTTGTCATTCTTGTACTATTAATCTTATAGGTAGCAGCTTGGAAATCATAGTAAATAATATTCAAATTATGTTTGCTGCGTAACGACTTTAACACAATAAATAAATAAATAGGCCTAATAGATAAATAATAGAAATCCGTGTGTGTGTGTGTG